TCTGACCTCACATTTCAGGTTCAGCAGCCTAGCCACTTGCTCGGATGTACGGAATAGGTAGGGAGATCTCGGACTGTTTCTAGGTGGTGGATTCCTGAGGATACGGCATGGTATCCGGCCTACGCAAAGCAGCTGACGCTTACTTCGTGTCAACACCAACTGTAACCAAGCAGCAGTTCTTCGGCAACGATCTCAGGCGAAGTTCCACCGCCTCATCTAAAGCCTTTCTCGAGGCTGGCTGGGACCGACTGAGTACCACAAGAGTGTTCCCATTCACACAACGCCTGATGACGCAGTCAAGCGAGCACCGGGCCCTGAGGTCACACTTCAAGGCAGATCCGCTTTGCGTCCTGAGCAGTCCTTCCTCGAATTCTTTGACAGCTCTGTGTTGCTGTGGTGTCGGTGCTTGTGCTACACTCAAAGCCGCGATGTGTCTTGATTTGCCGCTGGAATGAATCGGGGCCGTAGTCTGTACAGACGGCTCTGAAGTGATGTTAGCCTTCGTCCGTGATCGTTTGCGAGGCGGCATTGCTATAAGGAGTACTATAAGACGGACTAGGCCCATACCCGTATTCCCCCTATACATATCCGCACCCAGTGAGGTGGTATCTACATAATCACCCTCATGTGGCATAGCCGCTCCTGTTTTGCTTAATTATCCGCACGTGGCATAGCCGCCCCTGTTAAGCATAACTACCCTCTCGTGGCATAACCGCCCCTATTAAGCATAGCCACCCGCTCATGGCATAGCTGCTCCTAATCTGTGTACTCACTCTCATAAGGCATAACCACCCCCATTAAGCATAACCACCATCTCGTGGCAAAGCTGCCCCTACTCTGTGTAATCACTCTCATATGGCATAACTGCCCCTATTTTGCATAACCACCCTCACATGGCATAACTGCCCCGATTAACAACACAATACAATAGTGAAGTCGGCAGTTAACACAGCGAGCCCAGTAATCTCCGTGAGTAGCATCGCCGCAACGATGGAAATACTGGGAGGATTCCCTATCAACTCCAAGCACATCGATGTTCTTCCTTTTTCAAGTATCTGGACGACTCCACTACCTAAGAATGCAGCCTTCCCCTCCCATCAACTGCTCTCCGATGAAGTGATTCACCCCAAACCGTCATATTGTGAACGTTTGATCAGTTTAAGATGTCTTAGCCATAGTAGACCCTCAGAGAGACCGATGGGCGAAAAGGTCCGAACCCAAGGCCCAAACAGTGTCGCTACATTGACGTACTGTGTTACTACCAACTCCAAAAGCCACATGCAGGATGGGAGGATATACCATTACAAAAATGCCAATTCACTGCCTTCTCCTCCTCTACACTTCAATCCCAATTCAGTTTTCCGCTACATTCCCTATCGTCTCTGACAAGCCCCTCAAACGTTCTTAGCGATAGCGCCCTTCACTATCGGAGCATTCAGTAGTCGTCTTCGTGCTTCCTTCAGAGCTCCCTGACAAGCACAACAACACGACATAGACCTCCAGCTAGAGGCATCCAATAGCGATTCTCCACCCAGGCATCGCCAACGTGCTCCTACCCATCATTATTACCGCTTCCTTGACCAAACCTCTTCCTACGGCCAACAGCCCCAAAGACAATATCAAGAATATGATGCCTCCCACAGAGATGTCGGCAATCCATGATGAAGTCCACATGGAACTAGCTGCAACAATGTAAGAATACCACCTACCGTTGACGCTCAAGTCAAGTATGGCTACCAATTGGTCAGCATGTATAACCTCATAGGCCCCTTCATCATAACAGTCTCCCCCCAACGAAACGCTTCCCTCAATGATGTGGAAACAGTGTGGTATAGATACGCCGACAAAAGGATATACTCGAGTCGACCGATACTAACCTTACTATTAACAGATGGTATTGACGTGGTGAGTTGCTCGAGGAACGGTATTAACAACTGCTTTGGTATTCTCATCCTTACTATACTCGCTCTACATGCTGAACTGACGTTTATCTCCAGTGGACTTCTTCCCATAGGGGTTACTGGCACTGAAGTCGCCCTGGCCCTTATTGAACCTCCCTGACTTCACCATTTTCCGTCCGCCCCTAAAAACGCCTCAAGTGCCAACAGTATCACAAAGAGGAGACTACTGAGCCTCTCAGTGTATCCACAGTCCCGACTTACCTATCGCTTTTCTTAGTGTCCTTCAAATTGAGGTCAACCTTCGGTGGCACTGCGAATCCAAAGCACTTGGCGAGCTTCTGCAAGTCCAGCGAGTGGACGTCAAAGCAATCCTTAGATGCATGGGCGGCATAAGCATGCAGATACGATCGGTAAGCGTCTCGACTGGCCCGATGGAGGTGGTAGTTGGTCTCCACTAGCTTCTCCAATTGATGCTGAATATTAGCCACCTTAGCCGGGGGGAATACGTACTCGTTCAAAGTCGTCACGCCCGATTTACGAAGATATCTGCATAACTCACAACTCCACCATCTTACCCGCCTCCCTAACGAGACTACCTCAAGAAACCGAGCTCCTCGGGCATGAGGAAAAGGAGGGCCTTGCCAGTACCCTCAGCACCACGAGCAGTACGGCCGACACGATGGATGTACTCCTGAAGCAGGGATGCCTCCAAGTGGGGTCGAAGGAATAAATGATACCTTCGGATCATCCGGAGGGTCGTACTGGACAATCCAGTCAACCTTAGGAATATCCAAACCTCTTGCAGCTACATCCGTACCTACTCATAAACAACCATCTTACCACACCATGGCCACTTCGTAGCGAGAAATAGGTCCACGACACCTACACAGTAGTATGCCCGACTCCATTTGGCAGAATCGATAGAAGTTGGTCATCCGAGCCGACTGCTTCTTCTGACCGTGAATCGATATGACCGGAATGTCAATGTAATTGAGGAGCTCATCATGAAACTTCACCGAATTGCACGAAGAGAAAAACACCATCACCTGATACACTACATAAACGGCAAGTCTATAGTAACTGTACTACCTTCTTCTTCTGGTTCTTCTTAAGGAATGTAAACAATAGTCTCAACCGGTCGTCCCCTCCCACTACAACGTACCCCTGGACCAACCCCGAAGCTGTCGAGATCGCCGCGTCCTGAAATGCCAACCATCACTTCCACGACGCCAGGCTGTTCCCTCGACTACATCATCAGCTCCCTTGCTCTGTACAAATATCGGCTTTTTCAACGACAACCTAGCCAAATCGTTGACCTGAGGTAGATACCATCACGACGAACCAGCAAGCTACCTACGCCTTACCTTCTGCGTCTGGGTGGCCGAGAATAGTGACGTTTGCCTTTTCTTAGGGAGTATCTTCAATATCTGATTCATATCCTCCTCGAAACCTGCAGCCATTCTTCTCAACAACAGAGAACGTCCTCCCAACACTACCAATTTGGAGTATCCGATCAGCCTCATCAATGACCAAGCTCATTAGGTTGGCGTAGACGAACCCTCTAGTGTTCTGCAGATGGTCCAGTAGCCGACCGGGGGTTGCAACTGCATGAAGTGATATTACACGAGCCGACATTCTCGCAGACCAGGTCGTTACCAATAATATTGATTCCTCTGGAGAGCTTATCCGCCTCGTTCTTTCTATTCACACCTCCCATAACGATCCCGTACGTTTGAGAGAGCTTGGTAGAGTCAACGAGCTGGAATGGGAGGATTCATGCAAGGTGCGGTCTACTACTACTACTACCCTCTTGCACACGTCATAGATTTGCATAGCAAGCTCACGAGTGGGCGAGATGACCATAACGCCAGTACCTGTACCAAAGCATGTAGTAATCACTGGAGCCACCATGACCATACTACTACCATTCTTGGGCTGAAAACGGGTCGCAACAAGGAGCTCCAAAGCCGGTACCAAGAAAGCCAGAGTCTTCCCAGATCCCGTCTTGGCTGCTCCCAATACCTGTTAAAGCAACGCTCTTCCGTCATCACTCCCCCTACACTCTTGAGTACATCTTTCCCTTTCAGCATCAGTGGTATCGCCTTAGCCTGGATGTCGGTCATCGTAGTAAAGTTGCATGCAGTGAGTGCCTCCTTTAGAGGATCGCAGATTTGAAGATCTGTGAACTTCTTATCCGAGAAGAACCCTTTCTTGCCCGATGGGGCCTCGACACCCTGAACCATGCAAGTACCTACGTCACTGCCCCCTCTCAAACCGTACCTCAGGGCCTTCATTCACCTCAGCAGGAGTATCTAAAGCCAAAGCCTGTCAGTGTGCTCAAATTTGCACATGGCCAACCACATGTGTTGGTGACAATATCAAAACTCTGAGGGAATCTTATTAGTTTCTGTACATTTTTCGTGTATATTCTCCCAATTCACATATAAACTCCTATCAAGTTCAGCGAACATATTCAGCATCACTGAAGACTGTTGAGCTCATCGTAGCCAACTACCCCTTACCAGCACTCTGGCGTACAACAGCGATCTTCTCCTCCTTGTCATCTTTCCGTTGTTTTTTCATTTCCTCTTCCCGTCGCTTCTTCGCCTCCTCAGGGTCACTCTTCTGTCCATGAAAATGGCAACGCTGAACGAAAGGGTCAACGCTGGCCTACCTTTTTGAAGGCTCTCTTCGGGTTAGCCGATCCTAGCTGCTGTGAATTCGTCATTCGGATGGGTCCACAACTACAATAATAAATTAGTAACCTGCGATAACTTGATCTAAGGCCTATTTCACAAACCCTCGTAAGGAGCGAAAATTGTAAGGTACCTCACGGTCTCATCATAAGGTAGTTTTTAAGTTCAAGGTGATGGTAGTGATTCCTGCTAAGGAATCGACGAGAGTGAAATCCTGGACGACAGAGGAACACAACGTGCACAATGAAGCACGCAGTAGAAACCAAAGTGCTTCAATAGACGCTAGACTGATCACATGAGACTAAGATGAGTGAATTGATATAAATCCTGTGGGGGATCATCAGGTCGTGCTTTCTTCCTGCGATGGACGGTCTTGGACATCCGCCGCGGAGAAAGTTATGACCTTAGTGAGGAAGAGCTCGTGCGAGTTCTAGTGCGTACACTGTCACTTTAACTGTCAACCCCATTCTCACTTACTCCATAACTGTTTCTACTGGCTCTATTGGACCTACACCTACTTTTACTACTAGCCCCGTTCTCTCTGACGACATTAACTAGTACCATAACAATAGATAAGGTGTTAGATGAGCTATCGCTTAACTGCTCTTCCTCGGCTACTCAAGACGAATCATATGATGATGCCCCCACAGTTGTAACCACCAGGGTGTGGTGATGTTGATGATAATGATCATGATGATGACTGCTAAAGTCGATAATAATAACGGCATTGCTGACGATAGCGATGTTCATGATCATGATGATGATGCCAAAGCCGATAATAATAACGGCATTGATCATGATAGCGATGTTCATGATCATGATGATGACTGCTCAAGCCGATAATAATAACGGCATTGATGATGATAGCGATGTAACATCGCCGATGTTCATGATTATGATCAGGATGCCAAAGCTGATAATAATGACGGCATTGATGAAGATAGTGGTATTTATGATCATAGCGATGATGATGATGATGATGATAATGATGATGATGGTGATGACGATGCAGCATCGTCGATGCTAGAGTCGATAATAATAACGGCATCGATGATGATAGTAACTAGGCTTTCGTGACGAAGGGCGGAGCTCACTTAGTCCACGTCTATCGATTCGATCAATGAATTTGACATAGGTCGCCGGTTCGATCCCTGGGTAGGACATTCCTCCGTCTTTAAAATTTTCCTGCATATCTCTTCGAGCTGTTCGAGTTTTCCCATTTTTCCCAAAAACCCTCTGCATATAGAGAAGTCGTTCGATCTATCTGATAGCCACCCACGCTTCGTAGTTAAGCCGGAATAATTCTGCACGCACGCACAACGCGAAAGTGCCTGTTGTTGCGGTATATGCTCCGCTCGCTTCGCTCGTTCCGCAATGTTTAGGATCATAACGATGATGATGATGCTAAAGCCGATAATAATGACGGCATTGATGATGATAGTGAAGATCTCGATGATAATACTCTGTGCTCACGTGGTGACGTTCAGGGTTGTTCGGGCTCGAAAGAAAAAAATTCTTTCAAGCGGAAATTTCCCGAAATTTCGGGAAAAATAGAAGTGGTCGAAATTTCCGGAATTTTCGGGCGAGGTCGTGGGTTCGATCCGCGGCTCCGCCAGTTTTCCATTTTTCGCCAATCCACGCGCGAGTCCGGAGAGGGAACGTACGGAAGCCACAAACGACCCACTCCTCGAATGTTTATGCGCATTGAAAAGAACGACGCAACACAACTCGTGAGGAATCGATGAATATTGCTACAGGAAGAAGTGACACTAGGGAGCCACTGCTATGGCCCACTAGTATTGAAAAAGGGCGTTTCACGCAAGAGTGGGTGATTTCGGGACGTCCTTCCCACCTTTATCCTGAAAGTTGCTGATTAACGTGTGATGGTGTGGCAGACTGCCACCGGCAGTCGACCGCTCGCTCTGGGAGTGTCGGAAAGTTGTTGATTTGCTCTTTTTTTCTGCCAGTATATTACACTGTCGAGGTGCTAACTGCGGCAGTTTGAAACTGCCTACGGAACGTGTTTCCGTCGGAAATTTTCCGAGCTTCCCAGTTCTATGGTTCTCTAAGTTTTTCGAATTCTATGGTTTCTCCTCATTTCTCTTTTCCACCAATGTGGTGGCACGCATGAATGCACGCATACCCAGAGCCTATGGGTATGCGTGCATTGACCGGTATGGGCGCGTGACATGTGGTCCATAGGTCTTAAGCTCTGAATGACGTATCCGCATACATCTCTACTAGGCCATCTTGGACGATTCCTGGTTATGGTATCACCGTTTTGTACGAGAGTCAGTACTGGGTGATGATTCACTAAGTGACTCTGGCAGGAAAAAATCAAGAGTTACACCCACTCTATCTAGACGCTGGACACGCTCTCATTGCTCATATATAGACATAACGAAGCCACTGCCAGCCGATTGTGGAGGATTTCGATGCAGCGGGCGTCGGTTCTTAGTGCAGTGGTTTATAGCACCGTAAACGCCATGCTCAACCTACGGTAGGTTACCTACTCAGGGGCGCCACTATCGCGCTGCTGACGCGCCTATAGAATACCGCGCGCAGTGCGGAGCGAAACGATTCATATTGTGCCAAATTTCCGGAAATTTCAGGAAATTTCAACGGAAATTTCGAGGAAAGAATTTGACCCAATTCTTTCCCGATTTGGACAATCCTGGTGACGTTTATAATCGTGAAGTTTCTAGCGATGACTATGACGATTCCAACAAATTATTGGCAACAATAACGATGACGATGCACTCAACGATGATGATGTCGATAATGATGATTAATAGGAGGACAGAGATCCTCGTGATGATAGTTGATATGAGCATTGTCGATGTTTAGCTCAGCGATAGGGTTTTTCTGCCGGGGGATGACGACTCACAATGGGGAGATAGGTGACGACAACACTACCCTGCTGATGTTGATAATAACTCGTCGACAGCACAGCATGAAGTACATGCGCTTACCACTAACATTGTTAGTCTAACAATGGGCCTGATGTGACACCTCACAAGAGAACTGTGGACGCTCTCAGTTCTTTGCTCGCCAAAGAGGAGAGAGGATGCTAAGTCTGTCGTATCCAGGACAGGCACGAAAATGATAAGAAGAGCAAGATTTTGACGCCGTGTTCGAGGCGAACCTGGTCTATCAAGGCTCCTCGCCCACGAACACGCAGGCACCCTAGCAGTGCTAGGCTAGCACTGACCCTGACCCTCATTTCGCCTTCCTTTCATCCTCCTGTATGATGTGGTAGACTCTCAAAGTTTGTTCTCGTTTTGAACCACCGCGACTACGACCAATAACCTCCTGTTCGACTATTCAACTTGACTAGTTCACAGAGCGCGCACCTGTGCAATCGACATCTGTCTTTCACAAGGCTATGTTCTTCGTGCTCACACATCAGCGGAAATCGTAATTTCTTGCTGATCTCCTTTCTCATGAACTTGCCCGGTTATGTCATGTTCAGGTGACAAGCGTG